CAGCTGCAGAGTCACTGATTCATCTCAGCTGCTCAAGGTCTAACAGAGCTGGGCACAGGGAAGGTGCTCAGGAAGGCTGGGCTCGGGTGGGGCCCAGAAGGGAGGTCAGCAGGCAGGGCTGGGAGGTTCCACGCGCACCGCCCCCTGCCCCCGCCAGGACCCCCGGCGCTACGAGGAGTGGAAGTGGTTCCGCTGCCCCACGCTGCTGGAGGTGCTGGAGCAGTTTCCGTCGGTCGCTCTGCCCGCCCCCCTGCTCCTCACTCAGCTGCCCCTGCTCCAGCCCCGGTACTACTCAGTCAGCTCAGCACCCAGCACCCACCCAGGGGAGATCCACCTCACAGTGGCCGTGCTGGCATACAGGACCCAGGGTGAGGCTGGGGAGGTGGGGCAGGGCCAGGGCCACGAAGTGAGCCCGGAATGGACCCCTCACTGGCCGCGTCTCCTCCCCAACTAGATGGGCTGGGTCCCCTGCACTACGGAGTCTGCTCTACATGGCTGAGCCAACTCAAGGCTGGAGACCCTGTGCCCTGCTTCATCAGGGGGTGAGTACTTAGGGGACGGAGGCGGAAGGGGCATCAAGAAGAGAATGTCTGTCCAAGCAGGAGCAGAGAAAGTGCCACATGGATGGCCCGGACAGATGGAGGACTTGGTGGGGGTTGCCCAGGGTGAGGGTGAGCTTTGGTGAGGGATGTGATTGGGAGCAGGGAAGACCCACTTCACATATCAGGGATGGGGTGTCAGCTAAGCCCCTTCAGAACTTGGGCTAAGCTTTGGGCCTGTCACCAGTTCAGATGTACGGCCCTGCCCTGATACTGTGGCTCCTGGAGACAGGGCTGGGGTTCGACCAGGAGGCCCTGTCGCTTTTAGAAGGTGTACCGTGTCCCTCGCTACATCCTTGGGGTCAGTCTGCTGTTGGGAGGCACGGCACCCAGTCACTGTGCCTGTTTGAAAACAAGTCCCCTCTCTGTCCAGGAAGAATTAGTTGGGATCAAGGCAGACTCAGGGTCCCCTTCCCTCATGCTGTGTCAGTCTTGCCCCATCCAGCAGCCAGGAGCCAAAGGTCTCAGGTGGGACCTAGCAGGATTGCAACAGCTAGGCCCAGCGACCCAAACCCATCCACAAATAAGCTGTGGCAACCTACTGAATACAAGCCACATACCAACGTGGAGTCTATGATTTAAACACTCTCAGGCCTGGCCAGTGTTGTTCAGTGGTTGAGCATCGACCTATCAACCAGTAAGTCATGGTTTGATTCCCGGTCAGGGCACATGCCTGGGTTTCGGGCTCCATCCCCAGTCGGGGACCTACAGGAGGCAGCCGATCAGTGTTTCTCTCTTATCATTGATGTTTCTATCTCTCTCTCCCTCTCCCTTTCTCTCTCTGAAATCAGTAAAATAAACACACTCAGTGAACTCATTATAAACCAAGAGACTGACTGTCCTTCCCTTCCCCTAGTTTCTAAATCTCCTAAACGGAGACATCAAAATATTCTTCAATTCAGATTTGAACTATATTTCCTTTAACCCATCTTCTAGAAACCACAGGCCCAGGGAGCTTCTGCCTGCTGGCAGGGTTCTTTTACTAAACACATTGTGCTTGCTACCAACTAGACTCAGCTGTAAGCGCTTGACAAGTATTCACTCAGTTATCCACAGAAGCTGAGTTCTCTCTCCACCCTGCCAGAGGTGATAAGAATGGGAAGCCGGGGAAGCAAAAAAGGCCTGACAAGTGCCTCTCTCCTAGGGCTCCCTCCTTCCGGCTACCACCTGACCCCAGCTTGCCCTGTATCCTGGTGGGCCCGGGCACTGGCATCGCCCCCTTCAGAGGATTCTGGCAGGAGCGGCTGCATGACATTGAGAGCAAAGGTGAGGTTGGGGGCCCAGGGAATGACTGGAAGGCCAGAGGGAGTCACACATTCTAGGGACAAAGGGACAAGGGGGGGCTGGAATGCAGGAACCAGATTGGAAAGAGGGGACGGAATGTGCCACAAAGGTGAAAAGACGCTTATCAGAGCAAGGGGAGGGGGGCCTAGAGGCCAGGGCAGTGCCCTGTAGGCCTGGCTTCCTGGTGCTGGGCACAAAGTCGGGGTTGGATTGGATTAAGGACAAAGGGTACTGGAAGTCTGGAGAGGATGGGGCTGAGGCGCAGAAGACAGATGCCCCAGGAGGACTCTGAGCTGGGCTGGAGCTCACCTCGGTGAGTCCAGGACCCAAGGGCTACAGGGTGTTCAGGTTGAAAGTCTCAAGACGGGGGCTGTGACCGAGAGGAAGGCAGGAAGTGTGGGGGCTGAAGGTGTGGGAGAGTATGTGGTTGGGGCCGCGGAGGGCAGCGGCTCTGAGTCCCAAGCCCCAGGTTCTAGCGCCACCGCTGGCCATCCCACCCCAGGAAACGCACCACCTCTTGCGAGCTTGGGCTTCCCTGTGAGTCGGCTGGGGCAGGGTGTCTGAGAAATGCCTCCTGCGCTCTCCTGGAGGCCAAAAGGCCAGAGTGGTCGTGGGGTCAGCGTGGGCGAGAGTAGCCAGTAGGGGGCGTCGCCAGGGCTGCGCCCCG